TTTTATCCAATACGACCTTGATACTTAACAAAATGAAATAAAAATGTGCCACAGACTTGATTGGTAGAGGCAGGGAAATCTCAAACAGTAAAAGCTAACTGGGAAATCATAAGTTCACTGAAATTTAAGAGGATTGCATGTTAGGCATCAAAATGAGGACTTCTCACCGTGATGCTTGGTTAGAAAGAAGACTTGGTGTCTGAAAATTGGAGTGGCATTTCTGGCTCTGCATCTGCAGCAAATCTGAGTCTCAGAATCCTTTTATGGAAAAATGGGCTGAATAATATCAGTTATGTATAGCCAGAGGGCTACGGGGAAGTTTAAATGAGCTACTGTACAATAAGTGTGGAAGTACCCATAATCTGTAAAGAATTATACCAATGTATTCTTATCATTAAAAGTAGTTAACAATAGCATTGCTATTTTATACTATAAACACATATTGTACTTGGCTTATCACTAATTCAAAGAAAGGTCTAAATTGACATAAAAAAAATCTTCATAAACGAAAAACAGCTCCATGTGGGATCTACCTCTGATATGGTTCTATTAAACATTTTGGAACCATTAATTTGGTAGTTGTTTCTTTTCTAGGATTTTTAAAAATGTATAAATTCTCAATTCCATATACCCAGCGTAGACATTTTTACACTTTCCTTTGTAACTTGCTTCACTGGCAGTCACCTGAAAGACCATGACTTGCTCCCCTTTGCTCTCTGAGCAGCCCCGGGAATTGATACAGAGGAGAGAATCTCTGTCCGTTGTAGGCTTTGTTCTGCAGAAACCCCCTAATCCTCTGTTTACCACAACATGAGTCTATTGCCATAGAAATGATAGCTGAGATCCCAGATTCAACATCACTGACTTCACAGCAGGGCCTCATAAAAGGAGAAGCCACATTAACAAGGAGGAGTGTCATTTATCAGCATCACAGGCAGTGTGTTGCCTTGAAAGGAAGGGTAATTGTCAATGTTCGAATAAAAATGCATGGATGAGCTATGTTGTTGGGTGTGCTGTAGTTCATTTTCTGTGTAGTACTGCCTGACTGAAAGTAATCTTTTGAAATTTAATGTCATTTAATAGTTTGCTTTTAAAAGGTCAGACTTTTCCCTTGATTGCATTCAAGCAGATGCTAATTAATCTTGTACAACTGATGTTTATGTGGTCAAAGATTTCCTTTTTCATGATGTGTTGTTTGTGTCTGTGTTTGTGTGTTTTGTCTTGATTCTATTAATAGAAGAGAGTGAACCTGAACAAGATACTAAAGGTATTTTTTTTCTTTCTGCACTGCTTCCTTTTAAATGTATGTTTCGATTCAACTGTTTATTTCTCTGACCTTATAAACAACTCCAAGTGCCATGACTTTGTAAGGAAATAGCAAACGACGTATTGGGAGTGTTAATTCAGCATTTAACAGTGTCATTAGATGGCCTGCTTTATTACATAACATAATTACTGAGCATTTACTTTTATTAAGAAAAGACTTAAACTTTGTATCCCAAACTCTGAAAATGCAAACTAAAGGAAATGACATAAGTCAGCACGAGACTATCACTCTCACGCAGATCAGAATAGAAAGTTCCTTTGACCAAAAGCCTTAGGGGCTAGGGGGCGGGAGTGGAGGGTACAATCTTTGGAGACATGTAAAAATATCAAGGTGCCAGGTTTTACTGTCATTACTTCAAGTAGACAAGCATTATGCAACTGCTCCAAACCAAACCAAATCAATCAAGCTCTCCTAACCTAACTTTTGTATATTTTGGATGAAATCACAAGTTCTCATATAACACAGTTCGGCTCTAGGCATAAACCCCAGGCTGGTATTCTTTGAAAGAGCACCTCCTCATCTTAGTATTTTGAGTAATTTCTTAGTATTTCTAAATATCAGGCTGCTTATAACTAAATTTAGATAAAATCACTTCACCTGCTCCTGTGTAATTTTTCTTCTTTTTTAGTTTTGGCTTTCTTTGTTTTCAATTTACTCCTATCAGTCATTGCTGGTTTGAATCAGGTAACCCCAAAAAACTCTTTAAGGGAAGCTAGAAAATAAGAAAGAAAGCAAAGAACAAAAGAAAATAAAATCCATGCAAGCTCATTGTGTCCTTTGGAATAATTGCTCAGAAATAGAATTTATAAGGGGCTTAAGTATTCCTCTGGCTCTATTCCCTTACCAAGAAAAGAGAGGTAATTCATCTCAAGCCAAGCTGCCTATTAATTTCAGGATTTAATTTGGGTCCCCCGTCTATCAGGCTTTCCATTACACGACCAGTGCCATTTCAGAGTGAATAATGGCTCCATCTCCTGATTACAAATTCAGATTACCCCTTAAAATGACAACCAATAATAGAACTTATTCTGTATCTGAAAGAGCTTTGAAAAATGGAACAAGAGAGACAGGCAGAGTGGGGTGGGAAGGGAAGGGGAAGGAGGGAAGGAAAGCGGGAGGGAGGGAGAGAGAAGAAGGAAGGAAGGAAGGAAGGAAGGAAGGAAGGAAGGAAGGAAGGAAGGAAGGAAGGAAGGAAGAAAGAAAGAAAGAAAGAAAGAAAGAAAGAAAGAAAGAAAGAAAGAAAGAAAGAAAGAAAGAAAGAAAGAAAGAGAAAAGAGAAGAGAAGGAAAGAAAAAGAAAGAAAGAAACAAACAAACAGAATGAAAGAACCAAGAAAAGGGGAGAGAGAAAGATGCCAAGACAATATGGTTATGTTATAAAGGACTTTGGAATCACTGGCTGCCTAAGCCCAGTTTTGAATATAGGGATTCTCAACCTGCAGTTAGTACTGTAAGTCTATCCAGGAGAAATTAAAGCCCCAACCTCAGGGATGGACCCCACGAGAGAAAACCCAGGGATAAATAGATTGCCAGTGTCTATTTCCTATGTTGCTGATGAACAATAATGTGCTTTCCCGCAGGAAAGCAAGTGGGAAAGAGCTCACAGTAAGTTGGAGAGTTATGGATAAGATGATCTATAGGAAGAAGAGTTGGATAATTTTTTTCTTTAAAAATTCACATCAAAACGGTAGTAAATATGCTCCAAACTGCTAAGGAATGAAATGCCCCTTCTATCAAACAGCTTGTTTATGTAGCAAAAATACTTTTATGTTGTCTTTCATGCAAATAAAAGGCAAAATAGGGATATTCAAAGGACATTTTATTTGATATGAAACATATCATATTACTTTTAAAACTGATGACTTAGACTGTATTTTGTTTGTGGCTACCACTAAAACATGGGAGTTTATTATTGAACTTCATCTAAGTTTATTATGACAGGTGTATTATTATCCATGGAGCAGTCTGGAATTTATTTTTAATGGCAACTGGTGTTATTGTTTTTAAAGTTTGATAAATGTGGTGAAATTTCTTTCACCACCCCTTCACCTTTTTCCTTAGACCTGGCAACAAATACAGATGGGTATAAAAATACTCATTTTATTGCTGATAAAGCTGGATCAAAAAATAAAGCTAAGAATTAGGCTCACAAAGCTTCTGATTCCTCCCCACTCTTCAACTTTTCACCTGAAGTTGTAAGATGGACAAGCCCTGACCTGGGGAACTTACCTACTGCACATTAACGCCATATCCTTTTCATTTGCTGGGTATCTGGGAGAATGATGGCTCAGAGAGGACTGAGATACTCATCATGTATGCAAGTCCCTTTCCCCAGTCTCACCAATCAGAGGAGTCACTCACTCATTCATTCATTCAGCAAATATCTATTTTTTTAACATTTTTTATTGATTTATAATCATTTTACAATGTTGTGTCAAATTCCAGCAAATATCTATTGAGTGCCTACCGTGTAGCATGCCAGGTTCTGGATCAATCGGTCTATCAATCAATCAATCATTTGTCTGTGTATCTATCAATTAGCCTGTGTTAATGAGCAAAACGAGCTCTTCCCTTACGAAACTTACACTCCAAGAGAAGAGACAGCCAAACAAACAAACAAACAAATCAATAGATATAACATGATGACAAGTGCTATGAAGAGACAAAAACAAGCGTGAAGAGGAAGGGTCAAGAAAGCATCATTAGGAGACATCTGAGTCAAAACCCAAAAGACATCTGCAACTTTTTTTTGAGGGAGGGAAATTGGGAGAAAAGGTAGAATCTATCTTTCAACACTAAACAAAGAGGCAAGTTTCTAATTTATCTTTTGGCAAGAATGTGGGAGTGCAGGAGAAACCAGCTTCCCTTTACTTCTTGGTCCTTTTTTTTTTTCCTCTTAACTCACCAGACTTAACAATGAAACCCATGGTCAACCTAGGATGTATGTGCCCCTTTGGAGGAGCCCAGCAGTTTGTCGGCACAGTCCTACATTCACACCATCTACAGTGCTAACAGTGCTTCTTTCTGTACCCTTCTGTGTTCCACTGGACCTCCTGGAGGGTTCTGATGTGGGACAAAGCAGCACATTAATTAAATTAACTCCAAGGCTATGCTGACCTCCAGAGTGATGATGGATTCTATCTTATTTACCATCTCAACATCTCACATAATGCTTAGCTGTGTTGTGCAATATGGACCATCAGAGGTTTTGCAATGAGCCCAAACGATATTCCAAATAACGCAATGCCAGCCAAGAGGAAAAAAAAAATGCCACCAATTACAAAATAAAATAAAACCAAATAAAATAAACCCTCCCTTATTACTAAATTTCCAGGAAGACTTTAAAGTCACCAAATGAAAACTCTTGCCTTTGTAAATTAAAGCAGAAAAAAAAATCTAGATTTCATTCTTTTCCAGTTTCTTCTTCTCATTTTCAGCCAGAAGGCTCTCATTCAAGTTTAAGAGTACACTGACTCATGTTATCTCCAGCAGCTGCTGTCTACATGTTTCCAGCATTCATGGGATTGACATAATCCCCACTCCCAATATTTCAAGGATCCTGCTTTTTTCCCCCAGATTCTCAGAGGCAACGGGATCCATAAAATGGATCACTGCACTAGTCTCACTCCCAAAAAATTTGAGTCACACAAGTATAGCCCCAGCCCCTATGAATTATTTCAGCCAAATAATGAACATGGACTCAAATATGTTTTGTAATCTAGGTCTTCATGATTGTGGCCATAAAACGTCAGAAAGGAAGAGAGCACCTGGGTGTACCCTTGCTCAGATGCTAGTCACTGTGTGTTAGTTGTCAAGGGTCCACATCCTGTGAATTTAGACTGAGTGGGGAGAACCCTCCTATCAGGTGGTCAGACGAAGTACCATGTTTGTCACGCTGGAGGAAATGTACATGGCCTCCTGGCTGCCCTGTCTTTTTGAGAAATTCAGACTTTTCAGTGGTCGCAGCCTCTGTCATCGAGTCCTGATTGATGATTCCTTCAGACCCACCCAGCATATTCACAACTTTTTATTTTCCATTTCACCTTGGAGACTTGTTTTTCTGGAATTTCAGCAGAGGTGTAGCCTTCACCCCCTATTTTAAGCAGGCATTTTTAGCCATGGCCTCATCAGGATTGGCTCCATAATTTGTGAGCCTGGTGCAAATAACAGTACAATTCAAAAATCACTAATAATTTTAAGACACAGGCAGTAGAAAATGAAACCAAGCACAGGGCCCTCTAAGCATGGTGACCTGTGGGACTACACAGGTCACTTCCTCTTAGAACCGACCACCATAATGACTAGTACCCACCCCCTCCTGATACGGAATTTTTTCAGTCTGGAAATATTGCCTGCTAGGGAAAGTTGTCCCTAAGTCCCACACTTCGGTTCAACTTGGAACCACCCCCACGCCACAGAGTTCCAATCTGAAACTGTTGTGGATTTTTCTGAAGCTCTTAGCAATGACACCTCTGCCAAATATTTCCCCTCAGAACCTTACCTTTCTTCAGGAACTAGGTTTTCTGGTAACTTATGCTATTTCAAAGGCAGAAGAAGTATGAGTTCCACTACATGTTTTTCTGGAGTTGTGGGGTAGGTTCTACTGCATTAAAAAAAAATTCTAATGTAAAAATTTTTCAGTCTTATAGAGAAGTAGATACGGTAACATAGTAAATCTCCCTGTTCCTATTACCCAACAGCAACAATGATCAGTAGTCTACCATTTTTGTTTTATACATCCCAGTGCTATTGTGTTGCTGCTGGTTTATTCTAAAGCAAACTGCCGTGGAGGGAGAGTATATAGCTCAGTGGTAGAGTGCCTGCCTAGCATGCACGAGGTCCTGGTTCAATCCCCAGTACCTCCATTAAAATAAACAAACAGATAAACAAACAAATAAAGAAACAAACCTAATTACCCACCCCTAATTTCCTCAAGTATATTTCAACATTTTTTTAAATTTTAAAGCAAACCCCAGACATGAATCCAACCAATCCACATGCACTTTGATGTAAGGACTTCTGGCACGATCACATTACCATTTTCATGACCTAGCCCATCCCCAATTAGCACAAATTTCTTACTACCATTTACTATCAGGACTTTGTAACTCCATAAATTTCACAATTTTTGAAAAGACTAAGCATCAAAGCATTGTGTGCATTGGAATTTCATAGTCTATCATTATGTTCTGTGCTTTGGTTCTGGAAAACAAAAGACAAGAGCAAAAAAAGTATTATATCTGCAGCAAATGGGCAATTAAAAGGATTCCATAACGGTCTAAAGAACACTGGATTTATGAAT